GGGGGGGGGGGAAATAAAGCAAAATGAGCAGAACGCAGCTTAGGTGCAATGGAGGCAGCGAGCTACGCCATGGCGCCTCCAGTTCAGAGAAGAGCAGCAATTTATTGATGTCTTCCTGGGGTTGCTGTGCCCGACCTGAGCACAGTGATCTAGGTGCCATCTTGGCAGAGTCACAGAGAGAGGGACGGCCGTCTACCTGCTCCCAGACACACCGCCTTTGCACAGGCAGCCAAAGAGCACACTGGCTTTCTCTGCCACCATCTCAAAACTGCAAGAGCACATCCACCAGGCTGCCGAGCCTTGCTGCCACCTCCCTTTCGGCATCCCTGCTTTCCAGGTTTCGCTCTCTCCCGCCCACTAGCTGTGTGCTGGATCCTTTCCCCTCCACATATTGCCTTGCTGGTCTCCAAGTCAAATCTCATCTTGGTTCCTGCCCACGTTTGTTGCCGTTTTCCAGGCTGCATCAGAATCCGACACCCCTCCCAGTTTGGTATCGTAGATGTGCCATGGAGCCCCGGGATCCAGATCAGGCTTAAGAGCGATCCCTGCAGGATCCTAACCGACGCCTCCCGCTACCGGCTCCTTTAGAAATCTCATCAGCCCAAGCAGGCTGAGGACAGGTTATGACTACACGGCTACACTTGAATAGTTCCCGAGAGACGGGCAGGATTACCTTTGCCATTCTGAATTCAGCTGGAGCATCCGGGCCTCCACCTCCTGTGAAAGCAGCAGTATAAAGGAAACAAACATGACAGGATGAGATCTGTCACATGGGTGGGGAAGGGAGGGGAAAGTGTAACAACTTCACGTAGGAACACAGGAATTGCCAGACTGGATTAGAGCCCAGGTCAGTACCGGGTTTACAAATGGTGCCAATTGCACTGTGCTCACACTCAGAAGCCCCCCATACACACCCCCGAGCGCCACCCTGAGGCCTTGGCTCCGCTCACTTCTCTCCACTCCCTCTGCCCCCCCATGCACGTGGCTCTGGGGAAAGAGCCCAAGCAAGGGCGGGGCCTCAGGTTGGAGCGCGGGCAGAGTAGGTGGCCGGACCACAGTCCAGACACTGGGCCCACAAACAGTTAATCTGGACCTGTCCCAGGTCCATCTAGCCCAGTATCCTGTCTGTGACCGTGGTCAGCACCAGATGCTTGAGAGGAAGGTGTAAGAACCCCTTAGTAGGCATGCATGGGATAATCTGTCCCCCTCATTAGGTCTCATCCTGGTCTCTAATCCTCAGAGACCGGCTGAAACCCTGAAACATGAGGTTAGTATCCCCTACAACATTTTTGTTCCTAATTATGCTAACTCTGGATGTGATTGTTACAAATATGTAAGTGTCCAATCTCTTTCTGAGTCTTGTTAAGTTCTTGGCTTCAACAACTTCCTGTGGCGGTGCGTTCCGCAGTCTAGTTAGACATTGTGTGAAAAAGTATTGCTTGTATGTTTTGAATCCGCCACCTTTTAGGAAGGGCGTTGTTGTGTGTTAATGTATGACTGTGCCTAGAACACGCAAGCTCTTCAGAGCCAACGCCTCATCGCTTGTGAAAAGTGGTATGAGATCCTGACTCACACAAGCAGTCAGGGCCTGGGTTTTAGGTTTCCATCAGCAGCACAGGACACCTACTAATTCAAGGGAAGAGCAAATCCTGCTGCATCACCAGCAGCACTTCCTGCAGCACCTAGGTTTTCCTTGGTGGTCTCCTTATTCGAGAATTGATCCAGTCCAACTGCATTTAGCTTATGGGACCCTATGCGCTTGCAGTCCCACAGCTGCAGGCACTGAAGTGAAATGCACCTCCTTCCCTAAGCGCGGTTGGCCCCTATAGTGACACCTCTTTTTGAACAGGAGCAAAGTTCCTGGACTGTAGCATCCCCTGTTTTTGGTACTTGCATGCTTTAAAGAGGGAGGTCAGTTTACCTGAGATGCCTGAGTAATCTTCTCCAGGCGCCCGTTTAAATCCTTCTGCAGCTGGCCTTGGATGGTATCTAGCTCGCTCTGCAGGGAGATAGGTGAGCAGATGCGAGATCAGCACATACACCACCTCACCCACAATTTATCCTCTCCCCCACACCTGCTGTCCATCCACCTTTATGGCATACCTGCCATACTCCAGCTGCCCCAACCCTATCCCACTACACAACACACACCCCAGATCATACTCCCTGTACCCACCACCCTCACCTGCACACACCCAACCCCACCCCCACTCATGCCACCCTCATCCACCCACTTTGACCCCAATCCTACCACTTAACCACCATCAGCCCTTCCCACAACCCACCCACCTTGACCCCCAGCCCAACAGCCTTATGATCCCCCCTCTCCCTCTCCCACCCCCACAGCAACAGGCCAGGGGGACAGGAAGGAAAGAGGTGGCTGTGACTTTAAAGGAGAAGTAGGTGGAGCAGGCCAGGTTTCCCCAGGAGAGGCCCCCACCTCCCCTACCTGGACGTGCAAGGCCAAGTCCTCCTTCAGCGCAGCCTCTCGACGGCTCACCAGCCCCTCCAGGAGTGTCAGGGTGGCCTCGTGTGTCAGGCCTCCCCCGGCCGCCACCCCTCTCTGGAGCTCCAGCTTCTCCAGCCGGGATGCCTCCGCCTCTAGGGTCTGGAAGCGTTTCTCCAGACTTTGAAACCGAGACAGGATTTGCTGCTCTGCCTTTTACCCCCAGGGTGGCAAAAAGAAAGAAAACAAAAAACACAAACAATACACACAGTGGCAGCTTTACCCAGCTATCCTGACAGCTCTGTACCCAACCATGACCCACCAGCGCAGGCTGCAGAGGGAGCGGATATATACAAGCATGTCCTCCATTCTCCACCAGGGGGCAGTGGTGTGTGAACAAATACAGGCAGGACTGGACTGCAGAGGTGTTTGAAGGGCAGCCCCCCACTCAGCCAGTGGAAGGAACTTATATAAGTGAGCACTTATATAAGTCACACCCCAGCAGAGGGCAGCGATGCGCATGCAGGCACACGCATCCATCTCAGACTAAAGGGGCACCTCTGCTTAGGGTGACCAGATGTCCTGATTTTATACGGACAGTCCCCATTTTTGGGTCTTTTTCTTATATAGGCTCCTATTACCCCCCACCCCGTCCCGATTTTTCACATTTGCTGTCTGGTCACCCTACCTCTGCTCAGCTAGCAGAGGGGGCTGTATTCACACAGGTGGGAAATGATCCAGGCCCAGAGGCTAAAGACGTCTCTATGCCCTGAAAATGAAAGATGCAGGGACAAGGAAGAGGGAGCTGCTCTCAAGATTAGAGACGGAGTCCCTCAGCCACATTCAGTCTGCCTAACCCTGCTGCTGGAGATTTTAAGGGGTAGGTGCGTTAGCAGGAGGGGTGAGCAGAAATGCTAGAGCTCCCCTCACCCCAGATCCCTCTGGCACTCACCCGAAATAACGCAGACGAATCCCCGGCTCTAAGCACCTCCTCTTCCCCAGCAACACGGGGCGAAAGCTTTGCTGCTCCCCAAGAAAACATGGCAGGGTAGAGCATCGGGAATCCAAAGGGGTAGAAATACCAAGCACCTGGCATCACAAAAAGGGGACTGGTTGGTTAAAGTGTGTGGGGGTGGGGGAGGTGTGTACAATAGACCACAAATGGAGGTGCATTAGAAATGCCCAGACAGGCTTCAGAGACTGTTTGCTCACAGATGGGAACAGAAAGCAAACAGGCCTTGTGACTTCACCACAGTGACCAGAAGGTGGGCTCCTCTCATTCAGGTACACATTTTTGTTGCAGTTCACAGCAATGACCATCACCACAACAGGAGGCAGCAGAGAGCCCCCTGCAGTGTTGTAGATGCTGAAGCTAGGACAAAGCAATAGAATTCGGCTCCTGACCCAGATGGTCTAGGGCAGTGGTCCCCAAACTATGGGGTGTGCCCGGAGGTGCAGCAGGGCCCAGGCCAGCCCCCACAGGGGGCAGGAATGGAGCACCACCCACCCCTGCTCTGCCCCCAGCTCGGTTCCCAGCCCCGGCTCCTGGGGTGGGGGGGTGCAGTCCATTACAGGTAAGGGGGGGGGGGACACATAAAAAGTTTGGGGACTGCTGCTATAGGGTGTAGCCCACAGAGATTGTTTGCTTATGTTATACAGGAATGTGCTGAAACATAAGTAGGCTCAAAAAAAAATAAATCTATCTCCTAAAAATAGCCTCCCCGTCATGTTGCAAAACATGTTTTGGTCCTAGCTGTTTTTCAAAATAGTTTTAGATAAAACGTTGTTGTTTTGGAAAATGTTCTCTATATGGATAGTCATTGGTATGGCATTTATGCAGCTATTAATTAAAGGCAAATCTAATATTAAATTGCCAGTGAGGGAGTAGAAGGTATTTTAATTATGGTGGTGGAAATATAGATATGGTAAAAGGCAGGCTTAATGCTAATTAATTATGGAGTGTTGTTATAAATGATTATAAGAAGGACAGCACACTAATTTTAGATTGGCGCGCCCATCTACCAACCAGGTACAGAGAAAGGATTACACCCATTCTTCTCATCCAGGACTGATCTCCACGGGATACATCATTTCATCTTAGAACGTAAGCATAAATGCAGAGCATGCCTGTTTTCTTTAACTAACTACACCTCTACCCTGATATAACGCGACCCGATATAACACAAAATTTGAATATAACGCAGTAAAGCACTGCTCTGGGGGGGCGGGACTGTGCACTCCGGCAGATCAAAGCAAGTTCGATATAACGCGGTTTCACCTATAACGTGGTACGATTTTTTGGCTCCCGAGGACAGCTTTATATCGGGGTAGAGGTGTATTTGATATTAAATAAAGTCTTTAGTTTTATCACTCATGTCATTCACAGTCCTTCACAAAATTAAGTTACCTGAACCACCCTGGAGGTTCGAACCTTAAAGAATTCAGTTTGGTTTTATTTCTGATCATTAAACTACAAATTGGGAACACAAAGCCAAGGGCTACAAGGGGAGGGTGGATGGGAGGGTTTGGTTTCACTCATTCTGGAGATAAGGGTCAGCTGTAGCATTCGGAACTGGAGCTGGATCCCCTCACAGTCCAGGCGATTGGGACCCAGGGGATGGGTTCAGAATATTAAACAGTGGTTACCAAGCATAGCGCTAATGCTGGATTTACATGGGCCAGGGCCAAACTCACAACATCCTGGCCCTTTGTGAAAGTATCTCCTGCTCACTGGAACCTGCCTTAGGGAGCGGGCCTTTGGATACAGACACATGTACAGCACAGAGGGATGCGGGCTCTCCTGTGACCTCACAGGACCATCACATTGCCACAGAGAGCTCAGGATGTCTTCTTGAGCTTAGAGCCACTCTGTCCAGGGCATAAGAGAGGGGGGCAGGGAGAACAGCTTGGGAGCCTGGGATGACTCACCATAAGCAATGGAAGCCAGGAGCAGCAGCAGCAGGAGGAGCAGAAGGAGTTTCTTCAGAGCTGAATAGCGCCTGGAGAGCAGAGGGGACGAGGAACAGACATCAGTGCAGCTACCCATGCCCTCTTGCCCAGGGAGTTTCTGCATCCACTTGGACAGTACTAGGCAGCGGAGAAGGGGGAGTTCTGGAAGCAAGTTACACCCTGAATCTCAACCCACACAGCCCAGCTTGGGTCCAGTCAGTTTTGGCCACAAGAAAAAAAAAACAAACAAAAAACAAAAAACTGACCCCTGTCCTCACAGCTTTACTGGGGTCCTTCACACGAATATCTCACTGAGTTCCTTCCCTGTGGGGACTTTGTATTCCCCACCCCACACCTTCCACCTGTCCATTGCCCTGTCCAGATCCACACCAACCTGCTTCCCTCTGTCTCTGGTTCCAATCCGCACTGACCTTGTTAAGACAAAGACGTCCAGCAAAGAGGCTGCGGTGGTGAGGCGGTACCACGTGGTTCCAATCCACCAGTACAACAGTCCAAAGATCCGGCCTGCAAAGACCCACACATGGCATCAGAACAGTCAGATGCCCCTTTCGTATCTTCCTCGCACTCTGGCCAGCACGCCTGCTTCCTTTCTCCGGAGTTCTTGCCCTCTCCCTGCTCTTTAGAAAAGCTATTCACCCTTTGTTGTTATTATGACCACCATAGCACCTAGGAGCCCAAGGTCATGCACCAGGACCTCTTTGTGCTAGGTGCTGCACAAACAGAAGCGCCCATCCCACCTTAAAAGCACTTCTTCCCTGAGGCATTAATTCCCTGAAGAAAGAAATCCATTATATTGAATGAGATCTGTTCTGCTAGGAGTGCTGACCATCCCTGCTCACCTACTGCATGATCTAGCCCAGCATCACCATCTAATTTAGACTCTACAGCACCTAGTGTGTTGGGCAATGATTCTTTGGAGCAGGGATCATCTGTTAGTGGTGTGTTTGTTCAGCGCCTAGCACAATGGGCCCTGATCCCTGACTTGGTCCTCTAGGCACAATATAAATAAATAGTATTAATGGGCCCCCTGGACTGTACCACAATAGAAATAAATGTCATTATAATGTCCTTTGAGGTATGTAAAGACTTTTTCTCTCTCGGGTTTGCAAAGACCAAGCACACCAATGGTGCTAAACAAATGATAAGTAAGAATAATCCATCTCAAAGACAGACACACTGCAGACTTGCCTTCAGTACTCCGGCTATTCCAGCTCTGGGACCTGTGGCAATGCCCTCATTCCTGCCCTGGTACCGGGTCTCCTAAAAAAAACATGCATCTCTCTTTCCTAACTTTCACAGTCCTTTAGCGGGCATGGTTTTTACTTCCATGGGGTTTTTTTTGTTTTCTTTTTAAAAAGCACATGAGAAAATACCCTTCTGACCCGTGACTACTGCATGTGTGCGCATAGAGGGTGGCAGGCGTCAGTGTGCGTGGAAGAATGCTGCCTACAGAGAATGCTGACGGCCCCACACTTACCTGGAGAAGTGACCACCAGCCAGAGAAAAGAGCCTGCTCGTGAGATGGCATTTCTGAACCCAGAACCAGTGCTGTTCTGGTCCAAGGAAGAGCGACCTGGCACGAAGGAAGGAAGGAAAGGCAGTATATCACAAAATTGAGGTCTCATGTCTTCACTCACTGGCTTTGGAATAGCGTGTGGGATTTCCAGCATCCAGTGGGGGGGGCCCTGATGCCTTAGTGAGTGAATATTAACTATTCTCCCCCCAGCCGCAGAGACAGGCCTGAGGTGAGGGGGGAACCCCACTCCAACCTCTCTGCAGTCACAGAGCCGGGCTTGAGGTGAGCCTGGAATGATGATCGCCTGCCCTGGTTGTGAGGTTATTCTCTCCCCATGCAATAGAGCCAGGACCTAAGTGGGTCTCTATTGGGAGGCCTCTTCCGCCAGCAACCTTGCTACTGCTACCCATGCTGCTGCCACCTTCAGGGTGTCAGAGCCACCCCTACCTGCATAGTCATCCTCAGAGGAGTAGCCAGATGAAGAGGCATAGGTGTCATAAGTCTTGCTCTCTGCCAGCCCATTGATTTTACTGGACTCCGTACCTCCTGTGCCTCTTCTCCTCCTCCTCGCGGAGAGCTCCCCACCTGTCCAGGAAACAGAGTCCCCTTGAGAAACTAGCCAACACCCTCTTTCCTCTTCCTCCCCAGGCAGAGTGGGGCCAGTGGAGGGGACAGAATTCTGTAGGGTAGCGGGCTCGCTGCTGGTGACTCAGGGTGTGCCCAATTACCCTCGCAGTACTAGGGAGGCCCACCCCTACGCACTTACCGTGGTCTTCAGCAATCCCAATACCTGCTACCCTGATAATTCCCCTGGACTGATCTTGGTGCCCCATCAGTACTGGCTAAGAAGGGCAACAGTCTTCCCCTGTGGGGCTGCGTTCCTTCACTCAGGGCTGCTCTATTGCGAGGGGGATGTGTGTGTGCATGGCTTTCTGACCACTGACTCAAGTCATTGGCAACCTGCGCAGTCCAGTGGACAGGAGCTGAGAAGACTCCATTCCCTCTCATGTGTCCCCTGCTCCCAGCAAAGGGGGCACCTTCCAAGGCAGGTCTGGGGTCCCATTGGTGAAGCAGTTTGGAGACAAAGCCCAGGACTCAGTTAATATGTTTTTCTTTCACATCAAAGGGGAGGGGGGGCAGGGTTGCTGCAGGGAGAGGGGCTGGGGTCCCACTGGGTGACAGGACAGGGTACAGCTGGCACCGAGGGGAGACAGCACTCACCCCAGTAGGAGTCACTGTCCTGTGGGTCATCAAAGGCAGCGCTGCCCCCACCAGCAAGTCCCCTGCTGCTGCCCAGGTAGGACTCACTGATCACAGACTCGCTGTAGTAGGAGGTCTGGGTGGCAGGGGTAGGTCCCAGGTGGGGGGCTGGAGAGAGGCGCTTCATGCTGCTCGATTTCCTCCGTAGGGTCCTGCCCGGAGCAAGGAAAAGAGAGAGAGTTCCTAAGCTGCATGCACATGTGCAGGGTGACAAGGGGGAAGTGGAGAGTGGCGAGCCAGAGCCAGCCTTGCTTCCAGTCAGGCTTTACATTGCCCGGGGCCCTGCCTCCCCTCCTCTCACTCACACCGCTGCTGAAGTCATTGGAGTGAAACCAGCCTGAGCGAGGAGAGAACCAGAGCACGGCAGCACATTTTAAACAGTGTAAACTGCTGTCATCCATCCTTGCAAAATAAGAGCCCAGCTGGGGGCAGTCCCCTGCCACCTCCCTCCACACACACCTCTGGCCTATCACAGGCACCATCCTGCCACCCTCAAGCGAACACCCTGCCCTCTGCTTCCTGTCTGCTTCCTCTGTAGCTGCTGTGGTTTTCCTGGAAGGTATCTGTGATCAGGAGAGGTTGCTGGGTTGGGGAAGACGGTTTGACAACAACCCATAACCCAGGCTACCGGGGGCCTCCCAGCACAAGCTTGACGACTCAGCTCTGTGTAACCGTGCATAGCTGGACCCCAAGCCCCCATTTTGATCATTGCATCCCCCTCGGTGGTACAAGAGCGAGGGCAAGGCCAGGAAATGCCAAAATATGCATGACAAGCGAGAGCGCTGTGCTCCTGCTGGGGAGGAATAAGGTGCAAGAGGATTGTGAGGCACACTGGGGTTACCCAGAGCCAGCCGTGGGCTGGTGGGCAAGGAAATCTGGCTGATAAAGCCAGGAAAGTAGCAGTAGCTTTTCTCTTATGCTCCTTTCACCACCAGTGGATGCAGTGCCCTGGGCAGACCCTAACTACCCTGACCCTCTAAGGATAAGCGCGGAGCGCTCAGGGACAGGCCCTCACCTCCCACCGAACGGTGTAAGGAGCTCTGGACAGACTCTCAGTGACCCCTGACCTGCGGCTCAGGAGTGGAAATTCACACTACGGCAAACTGACTCCTCACCGTTTTCAAGTTGGGCTACGGACAAACCTCGCAACCCTGCTGCAGGTGGGGGTGAGGTATACTGGCCCCCCACCCTGCACCCTCTTACCTGTTAGGACTGTCCCTAAAGGGGGGCTCCTGGCCACCCAGTAGCAAACTGCCACCACTGCTGCTGCCATCATCATCACCCTGGTAATAGCGGGTGGCCCCGAGGCGCTGGCTGCGTCTGGACATGACAGAGGAGACTCAATCACTACCCAACAAGGTACCTGGGAGAGCAACAGAAAGAGATGGGGGAGCATGAGAACTCGAAGGTACTGCCTGGCGCTGGGTTGAACAGGGGGTAGGCCCACGAATGTGCACTCAGTTGTGGGGGAGAGGAAGGGATGTCCTGCAGTGGGGCAGACAGGAGAAAGGGCCTTGGAGATGCTCTGAATGCACAGATGCAATCCTCACTCACCCAGCCTCACTCCCTGAGATGTCACTGGAATTTGGGGTCTCAGGGGTTGCATCACCTGAGAGTCATGGGGACGGGCAAAGCCTGAAAGGCAGCAGCTCAGAACAGACTGGGCTGGCGGTCTCCTATCCTGAAGGTGGGGTGGGGCGAGGGTTATTGCATTGGCCTCTCACCCCTACAAACATGGTTTCAAATCCTGCCTTGTGCCAAAAGTGAGGAGAGTTCAGTGGATCTCAGCCAGTCTCCTCTCACCACTACCCAACAGCTCAGCATGACCGAGCAATCTCTGCTCAGCCAAGGCCAAGCTAACTTAGCAAGGGACGCCATGGGTCAGGACCGAGATGCACTGGCAGCGTTAGGGGGCCAGGTGGGCATCAGCACTAGTCCAGTAAATGGCCTGACGCGGCACCTGCAGCCTTCCCCATGACCTCCATTTCCAGTGCCCCAGGCTGCTCCAACAACAAGAAGTTAGCTCAGCTTCTACACAAGCCAGCAGGCAGACACTAGCCTATTTCTTCCAGTATGTCACAAGCCAAACAGCTTGGCTCGGACTGGGACTAGAGGTCTCGTGGACAGAAAAAGAACACATGTCCTGCAGAAAGAGCAAAGCTTCGTCCATGTAAGTGCCTGCCTGGCACCTGTTTCTATAAAGCAGCCTCCCTGCAGCACACCAACCAAAACGTGAAACAGCCGTAGAGGCAGATACTTGGCCCAAATCCACCACTATGTTGCACCGTTTATAGGGTTGTAAATTCCTCCTCCCTTCATTCCCTCCTCTAAGAGCCCACCCACATGGGCACAAACTCCTCACATTAACTGCTGTCTTGCTGGACAGGGACTGTGCCAAAGCCTGGGTTAAACTGAACCAAGTAACAACTTTCAATCCCACCTTGTGACCTGGCACAATTCCACAAGATGCTTCCATATCTGGCGCCTTCCCACCCCCGCCCTGGCAACTCCCGCTCTGTGGACGCATCCTGCCCAGATTCTTTCCACACCGTGCTAGAGCACAGACATTTCTGTGCGTGCCTCCCCCCACCCTTTACATCCTGCCTCCAAACTCCTCCCTTCTAGATACATTGGGGGAACTAATTACATCCCAACAACAGTAGCACAAGGCATCCTCCAAATGCAGCTAGGGAGGCACGTTCAGCCCTGGGCTAAGGCCACTGAGATCAGCAAGCATGGGATAAGCTTGGCCCCTTGTCAAAGCAAACACTCTGCAGAAATGGCCCCTCTCCACTCCTGCTTCCTGGGTGCCCTCACGCCCCACGGGCGGGCCAGGCCTGCGGGGCCATGACCAGCTAGGGGGACAAGGAGCCGGATCCTAGCCCGGCTCAGGCAGGAACTGCAACTTCCACAGTTGGGTGCCAGCGGCAGCCCCCCTCGGGCCGGCGGAGGGGGAGAGGGGCGGAGAACGAGTCTCGGCGCGGGGGGAGGAGGGGCAGGAGCCGGTCACTTGCAAACTGGGAAGGGGAGTAAACTGGGAACCCCCCTCCCGGGCTGCTGCTTCCACTGAGTCTCCCCGCCCCGGGACATCCCCTCCTGCAGCGGTGCGTTCCGCGGCAACCAGCCAGGCGCTGCCCGCCGCGAGAAGGGGTGGGCGAGCCCGGCCGGGGGCGAGGGGTGCGCTGTCACCTGGCTGCGGCGCTCTCCAGGCCGCGGGCTGGCTCGGGAGGGAAGGAGGCTCCGCTCCCCGCCCCGCTGCGCTCTCCAGCCGCCGCGATGTCGGCGCCTTTTGTGTCCCACGCGGGGCGGCGCTGAGCCCCGCTGGCAGCGCCCCGGCTCGGCCCCGCGCAGCTCCGGGCACGCGGCCCCTCGGCTCCCCGCGGAGAGCGGCTGGCTCCGGGCGCGGCGCGCAGCACGGCCTGGGGCGGGCGCCTGTCACTGCCACACGCTGCCGGAGCCGCCGGGCCGGGGCTGCCACTCACCCGCCGCCGGCCGCCCCCATTGGGCGGTTCGAACACAAAGGCCCCGGCTGGGCCCCGCCTTCCCGCCGCTTGGCTCCATCATTGGCCCGGGCGGCGGGAAGCCAGCTCGTCCCAAGGGCGGCCATTAACCCGTGAGCCGGGCACCCTGCACCCCGTGGCTGCAGGGTGCCCGGCGCTGTACGAACAGGACAGCCCCTGCCCCAAGGAGCGGGCAAACTAGGCGATCGCTAATCAGCCCCACAGACCCGGGTAGACAATGGCGCTCTAGCTTTAATCCACATCCCCGTTACTATTTATCAAAGTATCTGCCTTGCAGTAACAATGGAGCATCTTGCCCCCCATCCCCAGTCTAATGGTGGCTTCTTGGCTTTCCTGTTCAGTCTGGATTGGAACGCAGGGTGATGTAACCCCAGCTCTCCCTCTATTACAAATAATTACAAAGCCAAAGCAGCAACGCATTCCTCCCCCAAGGTAACAATACCCAGCTGCGTTGCCAGCTCTTGTGATTTCATTGCGAGTCTTGCACTATTACGTGTGTTTTCTTAAAGCCCTAGCTCCTGGAGTCCTGTGATGATGTGAGACTCTGCTTTCTTTTCTTTTTTTTTTCCTCCTCTTTTTTTTTTTAAAGTACATTTCTGGACCTTGTTAGAGCTTGTAAGCTTGAAAATGTGAATGCTCAAAAGCAAGCAAGCAAATACTTAGATTGCAAGTTCTTTGGGGGCAAGGACAGTGTTTTCATTCTGTTTGTACAGCGCTTAGTGCATTGGGGTCCAGGTCTAAGTCTAAGCGCTGCAGTCAGTCTGTCTAAGGTACTTAAATGGCGTCATTGCCATAGTATCTGAGGTCTCACTGTCATTTTTAATTTCTGTATCGTCACAATAACCCTGCGAGATAGGGAAATACTATTATCCCCCTTGTACAGATGGGAAACAGGCACATAGAGGCTAAGTGACATGTCCATGGTCACATGGGAAGTCTGTGGCAAAGACTGGAGGCGTTATAGCAATGCATATAATGAAATAAAAAGACTCACAATTTATTATTTTTAAACCCCATGATTTGTAAGTTATCTAATGATTTTTGGGGCTTGACTCATGATTTTTGAACGTGCAGGGTTGACCATATTGCACCAGTTAGTATACATATTACAGAGCAGAAGCTTCCACCCCTCACATAAATTCCCACCAAATAAAGCACAACTTCAGCCCTGCGTCCGTGCAACAGTAGCTGTAGTCAGTGGATACAACTGTGATGGGGTATTAACCTTTTGTAATTATAATACTGACCTATGTCAGGTGATGGAGACAGGAAATAAAGATCAAGCTCCTAAGGTCCCAGCACTTGTGTGTTACGCCCTTATTACAATACATGTCCGACTTTGCCAACCCTCAGTTTTATTAGGGTTTGGGGATCACAAAGACTTTTCCAGAGCAAGATTCTACTGCATCCTATAGCACTAAAAGAACCACAGCTCTTTACAAAATACAGTGAAACCTGTACTAAACAGTCCATTGCCAAAAGGCAACACCCTGGGTTAAGCAACTACTTTATGACATCCCCAAGTTTTCCAATACAGTTTGGTTCAACTTCTTGTTAATGAACCAACTCTACCAGGCAGACGAGTTTTGCTGCTCTCTTTGCAGATTGCTTAAGACTTTTTTTTCACAATGTAGACAAAAAACCTGCTTGGAATTGCAGCCCCCGTGAGGTGGGGAATGGTAGTTGGTGGTGCAGTATGCTGTACACATGTGGTGCAGGGAAATTTTGGCCAAAGACATGGGGGCAACAACATGCTGTTAAGAAAAGTGTTACGGGACCTTCCATGTCCATGCAAGACAGACAGGGGACTTGAAAAACATTGACAAAGTAGGAGATTTTAATTAAAAAACCTGATTATTTCCAAGCATGACAAAAAAAATCTGTCGAGCACTATAAAGTTTTGAGAGGGAACATAAGAATCACAAGGTATATCTGAGACCGATGAGTCCTTTAGCAGGACAGGAAGAAAGAGTATTGACAGTCAGGATAGTTTAAAGATAAAAATAAACAAGCAGGGATGGGGTGTGTGTGGAAAACACCTTTTGGGCCTCCTGTGTTTATCACAATAGGGCACAAGCCCATTTTTTCACCTTAGGTCTCACCTTTCAGTATCAAGATAGGCTGAAGTATGTAAATAAGGTGACCGGAAGTGATGTCAGCTATGATAGCAATCTCTTAGACCCAGCTGTCAACTTTCAGGAAGAAAATTAAGGTGGCTCTGCAGCATCCAAAGCGGCCTGGGAAAGGAAGATCACCGTCCCTCATTCATAGCCAAGGGAAATGGATGGATTTTTTGCTGTTGCTAGAAGCAGCCAATTCACCATTAAACCACAGCTTCAAAATGTTGCATGAAGCAAACTTTCTCTACAGTAAAAATAATAGACTAGGACTGTTATGTATTTTTCTTTCTTTCCTTTTTCTCTTCCTGGTCTATTCTTTTTCTTCTAATTCAGTCCCTTTTCTACAGGCTTGCAGAATCTGTTTTCCCCCAACTGATTTGTCTATAGTTTTTCACCCTTTTCTAATGTTTCCATTGATTTCCCTCCCCCTCCAGATCATTTATCTTTCTTAACAATCATTTTGTTTTATGATTTGTCTTTCTTCTGTCATGTAGGCCCCAATCCTGCAAAACATTTAAGCACAGGATTTCAATGGGATTTCTTGCATGCTTAGTGTTTTGCTGGATCAGGATGTAGTCTCTGGATTGGCCAATCCATTCAGTCTGGTCACAATTCACCCCTGAGGACTCTGCCACTTGGATTCCTTTGTAGTCTCCAGACGGGAACCCTTCTTTTCAGGAATTCCTGCATTATGACTCAAAGTCCCTGTTGGGGCAGGGGTGGGGGAGCAGTTGGTGATCTCTAGCTCACCATGAGCATGTCTGGACAGTTTATCCCTCTGATATTGCGCTCTCTCTCTCTTTAATAGGTGGTGGTGGGGAGGGGGGCATGGGTTAATTCCACCCCTACTGAGCACCTCTGATGGCCTGGGCCTGGCCACTTCAGGGGTTCCCATATCCTAGGGTTGTGGTGCTGCTTCTGCTTTCAGGAGTCGATTGTGCTGGGAACTGTTTATATGGAATGTCAAAGAGAGAGACCCAAATTTAGCCCCAGTGTAAATGGGCACATTCTCACTGACTCCAAATCCTTCGCACTAGCCAGGTGCCTTTACAGCCAGTGTTGGTTACAGCACCTCCTGCAGCTGTAGGAATCAGTCATGCCCAAACAGTGCTCCTCTCTTTCCCTCCAGTCCTTTCCCCCTGCTCCCATCCTCTGTGGAAAAAATGACCAGCACTCATCCTAGCTCACTCAGCAGGCACTTGACCTGCCCTCTTCTGTCCGGCTCTCTCTCTCTCCCACACACACACATGCCATCATTATATAACTAGGGGCAAGTTCCCCCCATTTTGGCAGAGAACAGGGGCTGCCAGCCTTTTAACCAAGCCAATCCCCACCCCCAAACAAAGAAACAAACAAACAAATAAATAAATAAAACTCTCAAACCGAAACAAAGAACAACAAAGCCCCTGGTAACTGTTAAGGACAGAGCCCTGGGCAGGAAATATGAAATTCCTGTCTCCTGGAGCCAGGACAATGACTGGTAGTTTCTGCCATTTCAGAAGCATAAAACCTGGGGGAAAAATATGCTGCCCTTTGATCTCTAGAGACATGGGTTCAAATCCAGTCCTGGAGCCACAAATGACACGAGATTGGTGGGTCACAGCCTATCCCCAGCCAAAGTTTTTTTCTATTTCCCAAAAGCTGTAAAGGATGTAGAATCACAGGTGTTGGAGATGGCAAAGACCTATTTGGATACTTCTCGCACGTCCCTGCCTGCCCCTTGCCCAGAGCAGGGATGTTCCCTATAGTACGTTCCCAGGGCTTTATCCCATCCTTTCCCTTGGGAGGATAGGTCACATGCAATAGACCCGCCACAGGCTGCCAGGTAGGAATGGTTTCCTGACATCCAGCTAAAATGTTCTCTTTGCTCAATTTCATCCCATTACGTCCGTGTCTCGACCAAGCTCTTCCTTAACACCCCCCACCACCACCACCACCATTGTACAGCTGCTTGTGCAGCTCCACCAGTAGTGGCACTGAGGAGAGCTCTAGTGTAAGCAAGGCTCTGGTGTTTATACTGCCAGGTCATCTAACCCAGCTGAGAGCAGGCCTAGACAACATGGGGGTTGACACCCTAGCAGCCAGCCTACATTAGAGCTCTCCCCACTGCTACCACTGGTGGGCTGGACTGCTGGTAACTCAGGGTATGTCTACACTGCAATAAAGCACCTGAGGCACTGAGTCTCAGCGCTTGGGTCAGCTGACTTGGGTTCACTGGGCTCGGGCTGCAGAATTGCAGTGTAGACGTTCAGACTGGGGCCGGAGCCCAGACTCTGAGACCCCCTCCCCCCGGATCTGAGCCCCCAGGCGCCAGCCCAAGCCCCAACCTTTACATTGCAATTTTACAGCCCCCCCAAGTCTGAGTCAACTGACCCAGTCCCGCCACGGCCGTGCTGCTGGTCTTTTATTGCAGTGTAGATGTACCGTCAGTGCAACCAAGGCCTTAGTTATACTCCTTTAAATCCCACCGTATGCCCCTCTCTCCTTGTGTACAACCCGGTTACTCGGAGACTGAATCCCCTGTTTATCATCATTGACCAAACTAGATGTATTTAAAACTCTTTTAACCTCTCCCTGTAACACAAGTTCTCCATTCCTTAAAGCAGGAACACTAGTACCTAGCACATCCTGGACGCTATCACAGCCTAACAGTAGCACCACCAACAGTGCTAGCAGCACCTGCCTTCCCCCATCGCAGCTTTTGTTGACGGAAAACTACTGCAGATTAGTTTCCAACTCCCCCTAGAGGGATTAGGGGGATAATCTAGGTGCTGAGC